TATAGATGTATAATATAAACATACTCAATATATATATACTATATACATATATATATATATATGTCTATATATATATATGTGTGTGTGTGTGTGTGCGTGTCCGTGTGTGTGTACGCGTGTGTGTATGTGTGTGTAGAATTTTGATTGTAGACTTGAATTAGAATGAACTCTTAGACAATTGAAATACTTGTGCAGGTATACTTACAGAAATAAATATATACATACATAAAATACACCTTCATACGCACATAAAGACATATACGACATAAACACATACATAAAGAACACATAATTCATACATACATACATAAAATACACATACATACATATAAGACACACGCATACATACATAAAATACACATACATACATACATAAAACATACATACATACAAATATACATAAATAAAAAATACATACACACATACATGTAAGGTATACCCATGCGCAGAAGAATGATATACACATACCACATACTCACTTATACTTGTCATTCTGTGGTACAGGCTGTTAGCATAAACATACCACATACTCACTATACTTGTCGTTCTGTGGTACAGGCTGTTAGCATATACATACCACATACTCACTTATACTTGTCGTTCTGTGGTACAGGCTGATAGCATATACATACCACATACTCACTTATACTTGTCATTCTGTGGTACAGGCTGTTAGCATATACATACCACATACTCACTTATACTTGTCGTTCTGTGGTACAGGCTGTTAGCATATGTTGCGGGTATTGTTTGGCTCTTTCAGCTGCGACATCCTCACAACATCGGCCGAGAGTACATTTCGGAGAATGCGTTGATTCCGGGCGCGGTAGGTAATCTCGTACACGGAATGCAACTACTATGCATATGCGTGTGTGTCTACTGAGATGTGCGTGTGTGCATGAGTCGTTTACACTACTATACATATGGTGTATTTCTACTAAGATGTGGGTGTGCACATGAGTCGTTTGTACTACTGTACATATGCGTATGTGTCTACTGAGATGTGCGTGTATACATGAGTCGTTTGTACTACTATACATAGGCGTGTGTGTCGACTGAGATGTGAGTGTGCACATGAGTCGTTTGTACTACTATACATATGCGTGTGTATATCTTCCATATATTTATGTTGGTCCAGATATGCTTATGCATGTACATCCATATATAACTATATCGAAAGACCATAGTATACAACCGAGTAGTAGTTGTATGGCGATTATATTGCGTTCGTGCGGAGCAGATACTATTAAAATGAGATGTTTGTAGGAAGTAAAGGCATTGACGTACACATACACTCGTTGATCCTTATCTACCCCCCCCCCTCCCTTATCTTTTTGGCCTAGATTATTCAAATGGGATGTTTGCAGGTAGTAAGGTTGCATTGTACGTACACATACACCCATTGACCTATTGCACTTATCTACCCCCCATCCCTTAGGCCAAGGTAATTAAAATGGGATGTTTGTAGGTAGTAAGGTTGCATTGTACGTACACATACACCCATTGACCTATTGCACTTATTTACCCCCCATCCCTTAGGCCAAGGTAGTTAAAATGGGATGTTTGTAGGTAGTAAGGTTGCATTGTACGTACACATACACCCATTGACCTATTGCACTTATCTACCTCCCATTCCATAGGCCAAGGTATCCTTTGGTATAGATGATAAGGCACCCTCGGTCAAGTCCCTTTACAGTGACATGCAGACGTCAGTAGCAGAACATGCACTGGGCTACACGGACACGTAAGCATGCTTCTGAGTGTGCCAACAAACTGTGTTGGTGTATGTGAGTGTTGATGTGTATATATATATATATATATATTAATTGGTATATATATATATATGTGTGTGTGTGTATGTATATGTATATGTATATATATTTATGTATATATGTATATATATATGTATATGTGTGTGTGTATAAATATATATATGTGTGTGTGTGTGTGTGTGTGT